CCTTTTCTGTCTGAAATCAGTATACATTGCATACAGATTCCTATTAAAGGATTGTTTTTTTGTGGTCAACTCGGCATTTATCTCTGCACTAAGCCGTTGGTACAGGTTTCACGAGCTCTATAAACGTTTAGCCTATACTGTTTGTCCCGAAATCACCATTTCTAATATATAGCAGGCTAGGTCTCATTGAGATCGATCCAGTACGCATTTGATCGTACGTTGTAGATTGCGAATAGAATCACCGATTACGACACGTATATTTTCTTGTAGTGAGATTGGCACATTACTTATTCTCACCCAACGTAGGTTACAAACAGCATGAAAGCCGTCGTTGGTTCGATGGACAAGGCCATGAAGAGTATGGATCTAGCTAAGGTATTGATGTCTTCATGATACGTGCGTGTGGATTATGGATAGAAACAGTCCTACGATTGAAATATGTCGAATCTGAATGTATGTTTGTTATTGATGCCTGTGTACGTCACACATATACGGGTGTGTGCACAACACCCTGAATGCCGAGTGCGTTCTGAATCCAATTCGTACGCCTCATCCATTTTTAAGTGTAGGTGTAAATCTAGATATACCTACATTGATGTGATTGCCTGTCTGTATGAAGGAGTCATACATGATATATATATATGTGTGTATGTATGTATGTATGTATGTATGTGTGAATGATATATATATATATTTGTGTATGTATGTATGTATGTATGTATGTATATATGTATATATGTATATATATAAATATCTATATATATATAAATATGATATTGGTTTATGCCAGGTAACCACACACGGCATAGCAAGTCCTGCCGAAGAGGTCAATCTTCAATAGCATTGACTGCCAGTTAGTTTGACCACTTCTATGCACTTCAAGTGTGTGCGCTCAAACAGCTATCGGAGGTTTACTGACTACCTTGAATGGGGTTTAATTCTGTACAAACCCTTCGAATTGTGAGGATCGACTTTGCTGCGCATTCAGAACGTCACGCTAGTCGTCATAGTTATGAATGAAAGCACAAAGCTTATGACGTCACCGTGTTGTGTGAGGATGCACAACCGAACAGGTGACAGTGAGACTCGAAGGCGTCACTCCTTATAATGTACCAGTGCATTTAATAGATTGAAGTTCGCCCCGCCCAACGCTTTCATGCCTAGAAAAATACAACATTCTCCGTCACTTCTCGATTATATTATTTCAAATAGATTACTCAGCTCATGGAGCAATTTGAGAGGAATTTCGAGGATCTAGATGTCCAAACAGCTACCATGGAGGGTTCGATGCAGGGGTCGGTTTCGTCGTCAATGCCTGAAAGCCAAGTGGACACTCTTATGCAACGGGTACGTACACACACACACACACACACATACATATATATAAATACATACGTATATAGAATATATACATTATATATATATATATTGATATATATATATATAATAAAATAAGTTATAGATATATGCATG